AGTAACAAATTTCAATGAATCCGAAACAAATTCATTCATTTTATTTCTTTGTGACTTCAGAGGGTTTTGTATGTTCAATAATACATGTGTCACACTGTATTGTTATGATGGGCCAAAGTCAAGCACAACAAGAAAGTCGCAAGCAAATTGCATCAACATCGCAAGCAAGTCACAGGAAATAACATAACCACATAATAAATTAATCTGAATCTTCTGAAATAACTTCCAAAAGAACTATTCTAACATTATGAATATGGCAAAAGTAAACAATTGATGTAACAAATTAAACTAAATTAAATTTTTTATCATGAACATCTCTATCTATAACCCCTGTTGTTTTTTGCCATCTGTGTCCCACTGGGGAAACTTCTCTTCACTTCCTGTCCCATGGCCAAAACAGGAAGTGAGAGGAAATCCTTCCAATGTGAGGGAATCCTTTTTGATTTACTTAGGCTTGGTTCACACTACTGTGATTTTAATGACATTTTCAGTGCAATTATGATGTCTCATTCACTTTGACAGAACTTTACAAACATATCTTCTGTTTACCTCATAGTTTTCCCTTCCAGTACAGGAGGCATCCCTCTGATCCTAAGCTCGTTTAAAGTAGAACTAATGGCAGCACTTTTTTTTTTTTTAATTTTTGATTTTATAACTGGACATGTGCAATTCATTTCATTATGAATTGAAATTCAGTCAAAATTGTCATTATTGCAATAGTAACGAATTTCAACGAATCCAAAATGAATTATAATGAAAACAACAAATTCATTCATTTGCGACTTCAGAGGGTTTTGTAAGTTCATATGTATCACATTCTGTATTGTTATGATTGACTAAAGTCAAAACAAACAAACAAATTTGTTTTTTTTTTAATAAGAATCTGCGGAGGTGCAATAAACAAAAACCCGTAAGTGAACAAAAACATGTAAGTGCAAAACACAAACAAAAAAGTGCACTTAGGGGTGTGGTTTAGTCCACCCCCCGAAGGGGTAGGACCTCTACCCTGATCCCCCGGGGCGCAAGGCTCCTGACAGGGACAAAGGTTTCCACATGGTCCACCTAGCCAAAAGTCCTGGCGGACCCCTTTCCTTGTGGCTAGCCGAAGCCAACCACTATGTACTAGGTCAGGGAGCTCTCCCGAAGAGAGACCCCCAGGGACAGGGGAGGAAGGAACCTTATGGCCACGGATCCTCCCCCTAGATGTCAGGACAGGTCCGAGGACCCACACCCTCCTTCCTAGTGAGAAAAAACACACAAAAAAGTGAAAGGGGACAAAACGGTGGGAAAAAAATAAATAAAAAAGTGGCCGTGCAATTGTGCCCTGGCTGGGCCCTGAGGCCCGTAGCAAAAAAATTGCCCTGGACTTAGCCAAAAGGCCTAGCCCTAAAAGGCACAGTGCAGAAAAAGTGTTTAGAGCAGTGACCATGTGCACTTTTCACACTTGGGATCCCACCCCTATGTGCTACTAAGAGCACCCCTGAGGCGACCACTCTCAGGGGGCACTGCTTCGCGGACTCTCTGCCTCCTCGGCCCCTGGCCAGACAAGGTAAATCCATTCAAATCAGGAGGAACTGGGATCTTCCAGTTTTCCCAGGGGAATTACTCCCGGGTCCAACAGCCTGTGGGTGCCTCGTTTTGTCTTCCAGCCGATACTAACCTTCAGAGCCCCCATCATACCAGCAGGGGTACTATACAGCCAGCCATCCTTGCCTACAAGCAAGAATGACGGTGGAGCGCCCCCTACTGAACACTGATAAGAACAGATACTACATTGGATCTTAGAAAAAAGGCCGAGACAAAATGATTTACTTAACAAATTAAACAAAACTTTTCAACGTGCACATCTCTGTTTATAACCAGGGGGCGGACTGACAACTCATGGGGCCCCCGGGCAATAGGGGATCATAGGGCCCCTGTGTCCTTGCCCAAACTCAAAAAAGCCTATGAAAAAGGTACCAGGGGCATCTCATGGGGCCCCCTACTGACCCCGGGCCCTCGGGCAGTGCCCGAGTTTCCAAATGGTCAGTCCACCCCTGGTTATAACCACTGTTATTTTATTATCATCAGGGGAGATTTCTCTTCACTTCCTGTCCCATAGCCAAAACAGAAAGTAAGTGGAAATCCCTCCAATGGGAGGGAATCCATGCAGTTGGTTTACTGAAGCTCAGTTGTAGGTACTGCGACTTAGAGGTGCTTTTTCTTGAACCCACAGTGGTGCGCAAAAACACAACACCTAAGACTAATTTCACAGTGATCCGTTTTTCTTCCTCTTTTGCATTAAATAAAGAGGAAGAAAAACGTGTGACCATGTATTCTTATGGAACTCTTCATACTGATCCATTGCAGGTCCGGAGTGTTTTTTAAAACCCTGCTTGCTGCTTATTTGGTGCAGGTGTGGTGTGATAAAAAAACTTTTTTTTGAGTCACATGTCAAGTAAAAAATGCACTGCAAACGTGGTACAAACATGGCAAAAATGCATATGCGTTTTGCTACGGATCAGTGCGAAAGCAGCCATAGTGTACAAAAAAAGTGCACGTGAAAAACACCATAAAAAATGCAATTAAGGCTGTGTCTCTAGTCCACCTTCCGAAAAAGTAGGACTCTCCCCTATCCCCTGGGGCCCAAGGCTCTTGACAGGGGCCAGGCTCAAGTTGGACCAACTAGCCAAAAGGCTTGGCAGACTACTCTCCTCATGGTCAGCCGAAGGTGACCACTGGGTATAAGATGAGGGGCTCGCCAAAAGAGAGACCCCTGTTTCAGAAGAGGAAGGAACCCGATAGCCACACATCCTCCCCCCTAGACGTCAGGGTAGGAACGAGGATCCACACCCTCTATCCAAGTGAAAGAAACATGGGCAAGAATGCTAGTGAAGAAAAATAAATAAACATTTAGTGCCAGTGGAGGTGCAGTTGCCAGGCCCTGCGGCCTGCTAGCAAATATTGCCCGGATTAGCCAAAAGGCCTATTCTAAAGAGGCTCTGTGGAGGAAAAAGCTGAGGTGACATGGCCGTGTGTTCTTTTTTTACACACCCAAGTGATTCTACAAGGCTTGAAAAAGGAGCGCACTTCCGCCTTCCACGGCCAGTGCATGCTCCGAAACGCGTCGCAATGCACCCTGGGATCTGACGTCATCACGGCCACGCCGCCACTACATTCCAGCGTGCGTTCCATCCGGCTCTGAGGGAGGATGTGCACGCCGGCCGGCCTCACCGCTGTTCCCCTCCAGCCACCACGCTGTTCCAGCCGAGAGCTGACCTCCCCACATCGCAGTAAGATGACGGCTCTTCACCCGGGTCACCACCCCACCGTTAACTATTGTTACCACGGTTTTTATGCTTATGATTACTTCACACATGTGAGTGTTTCTACATTCAGACTTGAATAAAAAGACTTATTGCACTTAGAGGCGCTTCTCTTCTTTTCTCATCTACAGAAGTTGCTACAGCTTATTTGGAAGCCTTGCCCTCAGTGCCACACGGAATCCTACGCTCTTCATACAATAGCCACTAATACCACCATCACCCCATACTACCATTTCCCAGGACTTTGCAGTGTTCGCGCTGTTACAACCCTTCCTCATTTTTTCTGATTCTACAAGCACCCTTGGGGCGACCAACACCCAGGGGGCACTGACACTGCAGGCCCACTGCCTTCCCAGCCCATGGCCAAACTAGGTAGCACTGCTAAAACCAGGAGGCAATAGGCCCCTTGGAACTCTTCATGACAAGGGAGTACTCCCGACCCGTACCTTACATGGTGCATGCTCATTATACTTCTTTGCTTATCAGGAAGGCTCCTCGGGACCCCCATTGTACCCTCATTGTACCAGCAGAGGTACTGTAAGCCATCCATTCCTGCCAAATGGCCAGAGCGATGGTGTAGCACCCCTAATGGACACTGATAAGGACAGATACTACACTTGATATTAGCCTTTGATGCAACTTTGGATATGATTTGCATATTCTATGAAACCGAATTGCACTGAAATTGCATTAAAGTAGCACAGGAACCTTTCCCAAATCACCCTTCGCAGAGTCACATTGAAGTAAACAGATACTGTTGAAAATAATGGGATTTCCTTAATCACTTGCCTACAGGGCACTTCTACCCCCTTCCTGCCTACAGGGCACTTCTACCCTCTTCCTGCCTACCGGGCACTTCTACCCCCTTCCTGCCTACAGGGCACTTCTACCCCCTTCCTGCCTACCGGGCACTTCTACCCCCTTCCTGCCTATAGGGCACTTCTACCCCCTTCCTGCCTACAGGACACTTCTACCCCCTTCCTGCCTACCGGACACTTCTACCCCCTTCCTGCCTACAGGGCACTTCTACCCCCTTCCTGCCTACCGGACACTTCTACCCCCTTCCTGCCTACAGGGCACTTCTACCCCCTTCCTGCCTACCGGGCACTTCTACCCCCTTCCTGCCTATAGGGCACTTCTACCCCCTTCCTGCCTACAGGACACTTCTACCCCCTTCCTGCCTACCGGACACTTCTACCCCCTTCCTGCCTACAGGGCACTTCTACCCCCTTCCTGCCTACCGGGCACTTCTACCCCCTTCCTGCCTACCGGGCACTTCTACCCCCTTCCTGCCTACAGGGCACTTCTACCCCCTTCCTGCCTACAGGGCACTTCTACCCCCTTCCTGCCTACCGGGCACTTCTACCCCCTTCCTGCCTACAGGGCACTTCTACCCCCTTCCTGCCTACAGGGCACTTCTACCCCCTTCCTGCCCAGGCCAACTTACAGCTTTCAGCACTGTCACACTTTGAATGACAATTGCGCAGTCATGCAACACTGTACCCATATGAAATTTATATCATTTTTTTGTGACAGATAGAGCTTTCTTTTGGTGGTATTTAATCACCTCTGGAATTTTTATTTTTTCTTAAACAAACCAAAAACCACTGAAAATTTTGAAAAAAAAAATGTTTTTTCTTAGTTTTTGTTATAAAATTTTGTAAATAAGTGATTTTTCTCCTTCACTGATGTGCGCTAATGAGGCTGCAGTGATGGGCACTGATAGGTGGCACTGATGGACACTGATGAGGAGGCACTGGTAGGTGGCACTGATGGGCATTGACAGGCATCACTGATGGGCACTGAAAGGCAGCACTGATACATGGCACTGATATATGGCACTGATAGGTGGCACTGACTGGCACTGTTAGGCGGCACTGTCAGGCACTGTTAGGCGGCACTGATGCACACTGATAGACGGCACTGATGAGCACTGATAGGCGGCACTGACTGGCACTGATAGGTGGCACTGATTGACAGCACTGATAGGTGGCACTGATTGGCATTGATAGGTGGCACTGACTGGCACTGATGGGTGACACAAAAAGGCAGCTCAGATGGGCAATGATATATGGCATTGATGTGCACTGGTAAGCACTGATATGTGGCATTGATATGGCACTGATGGGCACTGGCAGGTGGCATGGATGGGCACTGGCACGAGGCACTGATGGACACTGACAGGTGGCGCTGCTGGGGCTACACTGATCATCAGGGCACGATTACCGGCTCTCCTCTCCTCTCGAGCTGTCAGCGTAACCGACATTTCCCTGTTTACATGTGATCAGCTGTGATTGGACGCAGCTGATCACATGACCGAGCCGACATCTTTGGCTCTTTCCGTGATCGGTGATCCGCTGTGTCCTGAGCCGCGCATGCGCAGTGAGAATGGGAGGACGTCATATGACGTCCTCCCAGAACGAGAGAACCACCTTGCGTCCATCATATTACTATATGGCGGGCGGGAGGTGGTTAATCTTGTGATTCTGTGCATCTCAAGTCTCATCAGAAATCGCACCAGTGTGAACCAGCACTAAAGGCAAATAGACTGTGCACTTTGCAAGTGCAGTTGTACTGATTTTCCTTGTGTTGTGCAGTTTCACTTTGTAAAAAATATCCAATAAGGTACAAGGAAAATTAAAAAATACGGTATTTTTGCTTGCATATGATTGGATGATGGAAATCAGCAAAGCTTTACCATATTTACTACCGGGGAAAATGAACGCATCTGCACCTGCAAAGTGCACAGTCTGTTTGCCTTTAGTAATTCCACCCCCTTGAGTGTCACCATTTCAGATTTCCCATCTATTACTGTTCTGGTGACAATCTAAAATTTGGAATAACAGTAAACAAGACAAATAGAGTATGCTGACTTTTCCTGATTTTATTCCCGGTGCTGCAATCTAGAAACTTCTTATAAAATATTAGCCAGCCACACTACTTAGTGAAAAACTCACCATACAAGTCATTTACTGACATACATAAGTGCAGCACTTCTACTTCTAAATGACACTTTTATATACAGTATCTAAACAAAATATCCTATTCACACGTCAAGCAAATATAAAGTCCAAAAAGTTCCACCAAAGCCAGTTGTATATCACAGCTAGAGATGAGCGAATTTTTCAAAAATTCGATTCGGCTGATTCGGCGAATTCCAGTATGAAATTCGATTCGATGCGAATTAATTCGCTACGAAGTTAACTTATTAAAAGGGTTTCTAGGCTTCAGAGAGCCTTTAAATTAGTGCAGAACACTGTACCTTTAATTTAAATGCCCTTGGAGATGAGGAAGGAGAAGGAGAAGGAGAAGGATGAGAAGAAGGAGAAGGAGAAGGATGAGAAGAAGGAGAAGGATGAGAAGAAGGAGAAGGAGAAGGATGAGAAGAAGGAGAAGGATGAGAAGAAGGAGAAGGATGAGAAGAAGGAGATGGATGAGAAGAAGGAGAAGGAGAAGGATGAGAAGAAGGAGAAGGAGAAGGATGAGAAGAAGGAGAAGGATGAGAAGAAGAAGAAGGAGAAGGAGAAGGATGAGAAGAAGGAGAAGGATGAGAAGAAGGAGAAGGAGAAGGAGAAGGATGAGAAGAAGGAGAAGGATGAGAAGAAGGATGAGAAGAAGGATGAGAAGAAGGAGAAGGATGAGAAGAAGGACAGTTCTGTGACAGTTTCTGTCTATTTCTGACAGTTCTGGGACATTCACTCCATACAGCGGTTGAAACATTGTATCTATTTGTTTCCATAAATGACATTCTGCAAATACACTTAGAGGAGCTCTGCAGATACACTTTTTGCCGGCTTGGAATTAATCTTATTTTCATCCTACTTCTTCTTCTTCTTCTTCATCCTCATCCTCTTCTTCTTCTTCTTCTTCATCATCCTCATCCTCAGAAGAAGAAGAAAAGGATGAGGATGAGGATGAAGAAGAAGAAGAAGTAGGATGAAAATAAGAATAATTCCAAGCCGGCAAAAAGTGTATGTGCAGAGTTCCTCTATTTCTGACAGTTCTCTCACAGCTCCTTCACATGTACAGCGGTTGAAACATCTGTATCCTAAATGGAAACTAATAGATACAATGTTTCAACCGCTAAACATGTGTTCCTTCTGTCAGAGAACTGTCAGAAATAGCGGAGCTCACTGCAGGGACACTTTTGCCGGCTGATCGGGAAATATTCGATTCGCGCACCCGAAGTAGGCAAAATTTTGGATTCGACGCGAATCGAATATTTCCTGAAATTCGACTCAAATTCCGGTTCGCCTGGTTCGATTCGCTCATCTCTAATCACAGCATAATATATGCATGTACAGTATGTGTATTCTTTTCCATGCGATAAATCCTGTGTGTTACTTCACCCAGATCTACAATTACACTTCCACAGATACAGTCCACGTGATGGGATTCCCCTTTACAAATACTAGCGGTGCTTTCACCTTCTTTAGTGAGTTTAAACTCATTGTGAGTTATTATGGGCAGCACAGCGGCTAAATGGTTAGCCCTTCCACCTGGCAATACTAGCCACTTGCCCTCCTGAGGATTTACCCCCCTTAATGACCACGCCTCTTTTTGCTACTCGGCGCTGCGCTAATTCAACTGATAATTGCGCGGTCATGCAATGCTGCACCCAAACGAAGTTTATGTCCTTTTTTTCACACAAATAGAGCTTTCTTTCGGTGTAATTTGATCGCCCGTGCGCTTTTTATTTTTCACGCTATAAACAAAAAAAGGCTGACAATTTTGAGGAAAAAAAAACAATATTTTGGACTTTTTGCTATAAAACATGTCCAGTAAAAAGAAAATGCTAAAATCGAATTTAGTCAAAAAATTTTGAAGAAAAACAATATTTTTTATTTTCAGCTATAAAAAATATATAGTAAACTCAAAGTTGGTTATAAATTTAGGCCAAAATGTATTCTGCTCCATGTTTTTGGTAAAAAAAAAATCCCAATAAGTGTATATTGATTGCTTTGTGTGAAGTTATAGCGTCTACAAACTATGGTATAGATACTGCAATTTACGCCATTTTTTTTTTGCTATACAGCGCTGCGCTAGTTTAACGGACAATTGCGCGGTCATGCAATACGGTACATACATGAAATTTACACCCTTTTTTCCCCACAAATTGAGCTTTCTTTCGGTGGTATTTCACCTATGCGGTTTTTATTTTTTGCGCTATAAAAAAAAAAGGCTGACAATTTTGAGGAAAAAAAACTATATTTTGGACTTTTTGCTATAAAACATGTCCAGTAAAAAAAAATGCAAAAATCAAATTTAGTCATAAATTTCTGCCAAAATGCATTCTGCGACATGTCTTTGCTAAAAAAACCCCAATACGTGTAAATTAATTGGTTTACGTGAAAGTTATAGCGTTTACAAATGGCGGGAAATATACTGGGATTTTTAGGGTTTTTTTTATACTAATAATGGCGGCGATCAGCGAATTATGGCGGCGATCAGGGACTTATGGCAGCGACCAACGACTTATGGCGGGACTGCGGCGGACATTTTGACATTGGGGGGTACTGACTTGGGGTCACTGACATCCCCAAAAACACTAATACAGTGATCAGTGCAAAAAAAAAAAAACTGACACTGTACTAATGGCACTGGGGAGGAAGGGGTTAAGTTTATTTTGCAGGGAAGGGTTATAGGAGTGAGGGGAGTGTTTTACTAGGGGGCGGGGGGGGGGTGTGTACTGGGCGGGACAAGGCTGATCGAGAAAGAGAAACTGTTCTTTCTCGATCAGCTCATCCTCGAGCTGAGAAGGAAGTGACAGACAGCACAGCTACTGCAGCTGTGCTCTCTGTCACTGTTCACCGCCGATCGCCGGGACATAGCCGCTAAGGAGCGGCTGTGACCTGGCGACTGACATCTGCGGCGGTGATCCGCAGGACAAATAGGGCGGCAGCACGCCTCACGCACGCCCCCTATTTGTTTTCAAAACACACGTCTTAAAAGGTGGTTTTGCCTGTGAGTGCCGCCCTGCCGCCGTATATGTACAGTGGCAGGGCGGCAAGTGGCTAGAGTCATTGGTTCAAATCCCAACTACAGCACCACCTGCCTGGAGTTTGCATACTCTCCCTGTGCCTGTGTGGGGTTCCTCCCATACTCCAAAGACATGCTGGTAGGTTAATTGGATCCTGTCTAATATTGTACATGTATGAATGTAAGTTAGGGACTTTAGTATGTACACACCTTGAGGGTTAGGGACTGATGTGAATGTACTATATATATGTAAAGTGCTGCATAATCTGACAGAACTATATAAGTACCTGAAATAAAAAACATTGTGAAAGACAATCCAAGGGTGTAGCATAAGTCCCTGTTCACATTGCTTTCATCTGCTGCATTATGTTTCCTTGGCCAAGCACTGCATCTATGGTCCTCAGCTTTGCCTGATCAATGGCGTCCTCAATGCTGAGAAATAGGCAGATACTTATCCATCATCTTGTACCATCAAGGAGGCATGTGATTGCCCCCAAATGTATTCTGCAGCAGGACAACCACACAAACCATGTGGCCACAGTCATTATAAACTGTCTTCAGCATAAGGAAGTACAAGGAGTCCTGTAAGTGATGGTTTGGCCCCCATAAAGCCCTGACCTCAACATCTTTGAGTGTGCCTGGGCTTACATGAATGATAGAAAGATTTAACTCCTTGTCAATGGCCACATGCATAAATGCAGCCTTTCTACGGGTCGGCCGTAACACCGAGAGGCCACATATATGCATACCCACAAAAAGCACAACTGTGCCAAGAGCGTGAACTGTGTGCGCTCCTGGCACAGTCACCAGAGATCTCTACTTGTGATCTGGAGTCTTCCGATCATGTGAATGCTTTGACAGCTAATCATGGGGGTCACATGATCACAGAGGAGGGACACCACATGGTTTTTTAATTATTTTTTTAATTGCCAGAAATTCTTTTACATTCAGCTGTCAGTGGGGAACTCCGCTGACAGCTAAAACATGAACGCTGCATTGGGTGTCACTACTAAAAGGTCGCATGACTTGATAAAATAACTCATGTGATATTTTTGTAGTGACAACTATGTGTTCATGTTTCAGCTGTCAGTGGGGTTCCCCACTGACAGCTGAATGTAAAAGAATTACCGGCAATTAAAAAAATACAAAACAAAGGCGTA